GTACACGGACGGACGGACAGACGGACAGACGGACGGACAGACAGGCATGGCTTAATCGATTTCTCTATTCATTCTGAGCATTTATGTATACATTTGTCTATATCTATCTCGATTCGTTTTGGCTGTTACAACCGTTATGTGAACAAAATTAATATACCCTTGTGCACAAGTGCGCTCGGTTATAAAAATGTAGAAATAACCACTCGTGCTCAAATGTATACCCGTATTTGCGTATGTAACGTATACGCCCCGTAGCACCATACGCAGTCATCTAACATGTTTACTCGCACGTCTTAACTTAAAAGTCATATTATTTAAAAGTAATCAAAGATTGACGTAGGGTATTCCTTATCCACATATATATTACTTTCTTCTTGTATATAACAATTTTAGAATGAATTTCGAGTTTGCCAATAAAAATTGTATAAATGGAATTTTACACTCTCAATTCATAGTAGTCATCTTCTAGTTACTTTATGTAAAGTTGTTTCATTTGGTGACACACTAGTTTTATTACAGTAGATTCATTCGTTCTGGCAAGACAAACATTTCAACCGTCTAATTTTAACATTTATTGAAATTAAAAAATCGTAAAATTTCAAAAATTACAAAATAGCTGCGGCAGACATTCTGCATGCTGCCATTTTTTATTTTTAATTCGTGGTAAATTTTTGAAACTTTACAGATATGTTGTATTTGTAGCCAACGTCCATTGCCTCTAATATGAACATTCTATTTGAAAACTTCCAAAGTTATTAAGAAAAAACAATTAAGAGTTTTTCTAGTGACAAAGAAAAATGAGTAAATTCGCATTTGTTCAAATACTTGATTTATTTTTATTGTGCTTGTTTTTAGAACTCAATTTATTGAAATAAATGCAAGAAGGATGCTTTAGCGTTTTTTTTCTGCTGAGAGAAGGGAGTGACACTAAAAAAGAACTCGTGACATTTGCTCATATAAAAACTAAGGTGAAGGTGAATATGTAGATGAAGAAAAAATTTAACATAATGGGTAATAAAAATGAAAAAAAAATATGAGGATGAGGATTTCGATTAAAATCAAGAAGAAAGATTAAGATAAAGGTAATTTTAAAGAAAGGGACATAGAGGCTAACCACTTTAAATTCACCACACCGCAACTCACCTCACCTAATTTTGGGAACTATTTCAGGATTTTTGTGATTTTCGGGATTCTCGATACTAAATCAGCAATTTCAAGATCTTCGGGATTCTCGGGAATCAGCATTTTCAAGACTGTTTCGGAATTTTGGTTATATTTATCGATATTGTTATGGACGTAATATTCGATATTGTTATCGATATAGTTATTGGATTATTTAGCGATATTATGTCGATATTGTTATGTAAACATTTCTCGATACAGTTATCGATATTTAAATCCATATATTTATCGATATTGTTTAAATATAATATATTATTATAAATATAAACGATATTTTTATCGATATTGCTATCAATCGTTTGGAATAAACTTTTTTGTTTACTTATTCTTTAGAACGTTCCTGATGATATGCTAACGTATATTTCAAACACATTCTGTTTATTTTATCAACATTAAAGTATGATTTTTCTTTTTTCGGCATACGCGCCAAAATGTCTGCTTTGATAAAAAAGCAGTCATCTTCAAACAAAAACACCAAATTCCGATAACTTTTTTAAAATCGCTAACTCAAAAAAATTTCGATAAATTTCGATGCGTTTTTGTCAAACAACGACCAGACGACCAAATGCGAAAATTTTTAAACGACGATTTTGGCCGTAATTTTCAACCAATTATGAAACCTTAAAAACTCTCCTCATCTATAGAAAATTGCCTTTCCAATGGTGTTCTTGGTTTTGAAATCGGATCGGCCGAATCGACAAACGAATGGAGACAAAATTTATGTTAGCGTTAGCGTATATGTATGCAGGGGCGCACCCAGGAATATATTTTAGGGGGGTTTATATTTCTGAAGATATATCACCGGAAAATACTGAAAATTTGCTTCAGATAATACCCTCTTTAAAATACATTTATGCAAGTTTTATGTACGTATGTAATAAATAAATAAACGTTTTAAAATTCTTAAACTGCACTTTATTTACAGATTAACAGAACTCAAACGCTTTTAACCGACTTCAAAAAAAGGGAGGTTATCATCTCGCCGGAATACATAACTTTGGACCACGTGATGCGTTTTCAATAATCCTTTTTTATTAAAAAGATAGTACCTCAAAGTTCGTCCCGTAATTTGTTTTAGAGATCCGATGATTGGATCATGAAGAAATTAACTGATTGAAATAAAATTTGAATATGAGAATTGAAGTCGGTTGTGTTCTTTCCTTAAAAACTACTTGTTTAATAAAAAGTTCTATAAACTCAAGATGCGCTCAACTTTCAAAAGTACCTAATAACAAATTTTAAAAAGAGTCAGTAAAAATAAATTTATTGATTCCATGAATTTTTGCACTTCTATGTTCATTTTTTCGATTTCTGGTTTTCGATAGAGATGGTGATTTTTCACGATTGCTAAATTTTTTTAATATTTCAAATACCGAAAAAATTAGCTGAACTCTCAAGAAAAACGAAAAATTCATATAAAACGACGGACGAGAAATGGGAAAGAAATCTTCTTCTACCAAAATTTCTTAAATCAGTTTGCAGCTCTCAAGAAAAAAAATGCTCGTATATTTATTCCCCCATGAAAATTTACAGCAAAAGCAAAGCGCTTTTTCAAGCAACAGAAATTATAATAAATATTTCTTATAATTTCCTTGAGAGCTGGATTCTTAGCTTTAAGATACAGATTGTATTTGAGGTTATTAGCTTTAGGGGGGGTTTGAACCCCAAAACCCACCCCTTGTGTGCGCTGATGTATGTATGTATACATAGATTCTCGATATTTTGCCCCTATCTCGGCGGCCGCTGTGGTGCAGTCGCGCTTCCACTCCACGGGGCCTGGGTTCAAGCCCGGTTCAACCCAACACCAAAAAAAAAGAACAACAAAAGTTTTTTGCTAATAATGGTCGCCCCTCGGCAAGCAATGGCAAAACTCCGAGTGTATTTCTGCGAAGAAAAACAGATTCTCATAAAAATACAATCGCCGCACACTGTGCCCTTTTACCATTTTAGCGTGCCAAAAGTCTAAAATAAAATGATTTCAGATGGCCGTGATTTTTAGCATTCTGGCTGAAGAAAAGGCAACAACAACAAAAATAATCGGTATCAAACGTTACTCATTATGATGCGTAAAAATGTTATTTTTTTAGCGTGAAGTTTTTCGCATACTTTAAAGTGGCAGTACTTTTTTGCGAAGTTATTTTAAAATAATTATTTATGCGTGGTAAGTTTCCAAGATGTAGTGAAGATTGATAATTTTCTATATATTTAAACAAAAAATATTCCAAAAAATAAGTAATTGTGAAAACATTAAGAATTATACTGGAACTGATCTTTTGAATCTAACTTCATATAATCTGGTGTTTATGTGCAAACTAATAAGGAATATTTCTACTTTAGATTTCGTAAGCACTTTTTACACAAGTCATTAATAAACATGGCTTAAAGTGGCTTAAAGGCAAAAAAGATGATAATAATGGTGCTGTAATGAAATAAATTTTGGATAAGGTGGGAGGGAACATTGACCATGAAAGATTAAAAGAGTTTATCGGTAAGATCTTATGTTAATTTCGTTTAAAATGGGGCCGCTGCTTTCGTGTGAATTCCCGTTTTCTGCAGCTGCACTCCAACTGGTTGTCCCAAAGTGTGGATTTATCCGACTTTTTCTTTGGCGTAACACCGTATTGAGAAACTCGGCCAAACACTAACATATTCAGGGACCGAAAATAACGGTAACTTTTTTTCTAAAGTTAATTTGGCCAAATATTTTTGAAGTGTGAAATAAAAATAATTTCCTGATAACAAACAAACCGCTTATCCAGATTAAATAAGTTTGGTATCAAATGAAAGAGGATTGAAATAGCCTTTTTTAACTAAACAATGCGCATAACAATTAAAAAATAGCAAGGAACTTATATAGAAAGCCCTTAAGAAGCCAAGTTATCCTTGTTAATTAATTAATTATCAGCTTCGCCAAAATAATAAATGTGGAAGCAGCAAAACTATAACATAAGGTTGCCATCCAGAGGAAGACGTAGTATTGCCATGTGACTCTCCGAAACGTTGCAGTGCAAGCAAAAGATATACATACACATAAGTACAAGTATAATCAAATGAAAGTACAATTCAAAAAAAGAAAAAAACATGAAAATTCTAAAACATATGTATGTTATCGCATACNGGTCCCATACTATTTAATCACGTTTAGATCCGATCATTGGATCATGAAAAAATTGACGGTACCACTAAATTTTTGTATGAGATTTGAAGACGGTTTTGTGTTTTGCTTAAAAGTTACTTGTTCATTGATTCATTACATTAAATAAAATTACGTGATTGACGGAAAATCTAACAACACCAGCAAAAATTTCAGTTATGCACAATCACGGAAGTTACGGGAATTTTCTCTCCAAACCACTCACGCTCACACGTGAAAAAAACACGACACAACGTATAACGTAGGCAATCATGTGTTTTGTCCATATCTACTTCAAAGGCTTTTAAGGTTATTCCTCATAGAATCGTATTATTAGTTTGCTTTTAAGTGAAACAAATCAATAACTTCAAATAGCCGCGTTTCTAAGACGTCACAGTTTCTTAAAAAATGGGTTTTATACATTTGCACAACTAAATATATAACCTTAGCAAAATGATTCAATTTAAATTTAAGTTTTCATAATTTTTCCCATCGTTTACCTTCATATACATTTCATTCAAAAGGTGAGGTAATACATGCTGAATCATCATATTACAATGCTCCGTTTGAAATTTCTTATCCTGCAGCCGTGCATCCATACGATAAATAAATTTCAAAGCCAAATAATTTGCCACCGCCTCTTTACGCTCATTACATACTCTGTCCAGCTCATTGTAAAAGTGATGGCAAGGCCAAGTCTCCTCCTCCAACTCAAATTTTGTGCTGTTCCATGCGATGTCCAAATAATTATTCCATTGCTGGAATTCGTCTATGCCCAGTGCCGCTGTCAGGACCTCACATTCATTCATATCCTCATGAAACTCGTCTGTAATATTGAGTATGGCTCTCCAAGTTTCTACGATATCCGCAATGATCCGCTCAATTTTCTGCTCACCATTAACCCCATACAAATGCAAGTAGTTACGCATACGTTTTTCGTTCAATTCGTGTGAACTATTTGTGTCTATGTTGTCTGTATGTACAATGTATTCGAAACCCAAATCAGGTAATTTGAAATACGGCGGAAACGGATATTGCGGCATTATTTCCTCTTTGATTAAACCCAAGGCGCCATAGTTGGTTAAGTGTGCGCTCATATTGAACCAACTGAAGTTATCTGGCCTCCACGTCTCGTCGACAGCTGGAAAGCCACCAATCGACTTGATTATATCCAAATACACTTGAGAATATTTCACCGGATATAAGTCAGCTGTGAGACAATCATTATAAATCCGCCTTGCCTTATTCAATTCTAACGTATACTGAAAGTTATCGAACGATGATGAATCTTGCTGGAGAAGTTGTTGAACGGCTTCGCCTAAACTGTAAACAATATCAATAAGATTGCTGCGTTTGTGCTGCGATTGACGTTCGGGAATCACATTCTTCCAATTGCCACAGGCGTATTCGTAGAAATCTTCACATGGTTGCACCGACTGATTCATATATGTCAGCATTTGTTGGGCATACTTGACGCGATATTCACTTTCGATTTCGTTCAAACCATTCTGCATCACATCTATTGCAGCTACATTTGCTGTTGTTGGAACAATGTCGGCGTTAGGAACGCTAGTCGTCGCACTATTATTTTGTGTACTGTGTGTCGGAGCGTTGGTGGGTAACGCAGCACATAATGCAATTGAGCTTAACCGGAGAATGAGCAAAAGTAGGTGCCGGATTTTTTTCACTTTCATCGTGATTTGAATATGAGATACACTTATGCACTTTAGTTTAATAAATTTTTTATATGCATGTATTTATGCACATGCACTAAAACATACATATGTACATACATATACGCATATATGTAGGTATGTTTATATGCCCTTATATTTTTAAAACGCGTGTTTTAATTTACAAAATCACATTTACACTGTGCTAATCTAAATTATGTGTAGCGATAAAGTGCTGATCGCGACTGATATTAGCTCCGCTCCGCCTGTGCGAGGAGTCGGATTCATACTGAGCCTTAGCGATGCTTAAAAAATTTATTCAGAACAATCGCAAAGCGGGTTCGCTCCAAATAATTTGCAGTTTGCGTCCCTAAGTCTCGATTACTCCGCTTTTAAAAGTAAATACATACCTACATACATAAATACATATGTATACACTATGGACATACATACATATGTACATATGCGAGTAATTGCCAAGTCTAAATATCATTCTCTGCTCTCATACTACAGCAGGGCCGGTTTCAGTGTGAGACGATCCGCGCGGTTGAACTGCAGTGGAATTCTGAAAATCGTTTACGCAAATTTTTGTCGCCAAAAAATTTTAAAAGAATAGCAGGCGCGTATAAGAACATGCAACATCTAAGTACATAGCCACTGCTAGATTTGGCTGATTACACATTACATCTGTTGCAATGCTATTGTTTCATGTGGTGCACTTTTGGGCCCCTCTGCTTCTCATTCAGATTATTTTTGGTGCCTGAGGGTTAGCGGCGCGATCGTCAGAATCCCACTGCTGATGGTCTTTTTTGTAGGCCTTGAAAATAAACACCCTGAAAAGCTACACATCTGCACATCAAAATTTTTAGGCGCTCCGTTCTTCGGCTCTTATGCCCCTAAGTATTAGAGGTTTACGCCGAACGGCTTTGCGGCGGCGGCGTGGTCAACTTCAAAAAGAATCGGCGGCGGCGGCGAGGCCGGCGCGTCTGGAGACGCCGGCGCTACTGCTTATAAGGTAGATTCCAAAGAGCCATGAGGCTACTAATCTTGTCCTGTCATCTCGGCACCCTTAGGCATTCGCCATGGCAATTCAGATTGTAATTGTATTTAATTCATTAATTGAATTAGTTTTAAATTTAAATTACATTACTTTCTACTTGCATTAAAATCTTGAGTGTCTGCCGCTGATGGATGGGCGAACACACGAAATTTTGAGGTATATACATATGTACATCTCTATGTTCTCTACAAATCCGTATGTGCTATTTAAATTTAAAGAAATACAAAAATTTAAAAGGTCAAGTTATTGGGGTAATTTGTATCGCTGTCAATAAATTTTTGCAATAATCTTATCAACCGTTATGTTAAATTACGGAGTTGTTACGATTTTTTTGGGGGTTATGTATTGAAAACAAGGTTTGGTCTACTTTTTTCCAAAAGTTTAACCCATCAACTCCCACCAGAACGGGCCTTTTTAACCACTGTTTAAAAAATGGCTTATAGATGGTTAAAATTTCCACTAAAATATAAAGCGCCAAATTTTTCTTAGGAGAACCGAATGTAATGAAAAATAATAGTAATTTTTAGCAAAAAGGGGGACTTTAAACCTGTGTAGAAGACATTGCGATGCGCGGGAGCAAAACCTTCCTGGGATTTGACCACCACTTAGAAATGCTAACGTAATTTTCACACAGCCACCTAGTACTTGTATACGTCTGCGGGACCCCAGAATAAAATAAGTTACGAATGCAAAAATTAGCAAAAAAAAAGAGTTTGCTTTTTATTAAAAGTGTTTTTATAATATTAAAAAAAAAATACACAGGAAAATCAACTTATCTTTGTTTTATCTCCAATAATTGAGGAGTTAGATGCAATAAGGGCGCTTCTGTTAAAACTGCTTTCTGAGATATTGGCGTTAAAGTTTTAGATGTGTTATAACTTTCTTGTTGTTGTAGTATATAAAAAAGTAGTATTGTTGTAGTAATGAAAAAAATTGTCTACTGCGGAAAAAAATTGTCAGATTACCAGTATTCGACCCTAATTTAACTGTAATAAACGCTTTCGATTGAAAAACGTGTTACCTATGTTTTTTCTGAGTTACGCTTTTTTTGGAAATGTTCAGTGGCCCAAATTAAGCAAAAAAAAAACTCCTTTAAAAATGTAATTTTCATTTTCTAAAATAGTGTTTTTTTACGAGTAGTACAAAATTCCTTAGGCGCCGAACGCCGCCGCCGCCGCCGCCGCGCCGATATTTTCGTAATTCGGCGGCGGCGCGTGAAAAATGACAAAAAACGGCGGCGGCGGCGGCGTGGCTCGGCGGCGTATACCTCTACTAAGTATGTATGTACCCTGTGGGAAAATCTCTAGTTCTGAACTGGGGCGCTTCTAGTACATTTAGACCCAGTACTGGTTCGCGATAAATCTCTTTTGCATGCAAGCAACTGGCGAATTTAACATGCCGATGTCCTAGGAAGTGTCAATTGCCCCCCGCTGCATCCCTTTTTCGATAGTTCCGAACTAGTCCTAAATTCTCTAGTTCCGAACCCGTTCTAAAATCGACAGACGAAAGAAAAAAGTATCATGATTTTTCAACCTTTCAGTTCTCTCGTGTGCGATTTTACATTATTTTCAAAGAAACGTTTTTTTCAATTTGAAATTAAATTTGTTTGAATGATTGTAAGAAATGTACGTTTACATACCTTGCTGTAGCTGACTTTGCAGAGGGGCTCGCTGTTATTGGTTAGATTCCAGACGGCCCCAAGATGTTAATATGTTAACACAAAGCTTTGTTTTGTATTACCAAACTATGAAATAGCCTCTGCGAAGCACAGAATAGAAGCGTATTTGAACAAAAAAATCCGCCGAACACATATCTATGTAAAGCAAATAAGCCCCCCGCTGCATCCCTTATTCGATAGTTCCGAAATAGTTCTAAATTCGACAAATAGGATCTAGTTCGTTCTGCATCCCTTTTTCTATAGTTCCGAACCAATTCTAAATTCGTCACTTTAGATATAGATTTGTAGTGAAAAAAACTGAAAAATTAGTTTCTTAAAAGTACCACTTTTCGCCAATTTTGGACTGGTGGGGATCTAGTTCCTATCGGACTAGTTACTTTTTGGCGATAAAGACCTAGTACGGAACTAGAAATTTGATTCACTAGTCCGCGGTTTCCCTGCAGGGTATAAACTAGTTTATCTTCTTAAAGCTGCCTACAACTAAGTTTCGGAAAGCCTGGAAATTTTTAAAACTATCTATAAATATTTTAATTTGTATACTTTTTTCTGTATTGAAACGCTGCTGACAGACAGTGAAAGCCTCTCATAGAGAAATATTTTCATCCATGCATAATGATAAGGTGGGAAATATATCAAGATTCCATGAAACTTTCTTAGCGAATTTTAGGATTTTGTAGATATCGTTTTTTGTTGCTTGCTCTGAGTTAGTGAGGAACGCCTCCCTAAATCAATTCAGACGTAAATTTGCACACTATGCGCCTATTTGTTCCACCGTTTCTTTTTCGATTTCACACTTCCTGCACTTATCACTACTAGCCTAACCAATTTTTAGGGCGTGGTTAGCTAACAAATTGTGACCAGTTATCGGACGCATCAGAATTCCAAGTTGGTTTTTTTACGTTTTGTTAATTTGAGATCGTGTGACCTAAGCATGACACTGGATAATTTGCATCCACGGGGTTGTGACCACCCTTAATCCGACTCCTGGAACATGCCTAAGTCACATATGCCTTTAAGAGTCAGTAGGGTGATGGGAACTTCTAGCGCGACGCCTTGGTTTGCTAGCACTCCACTTTTTGCTAAAGCATCCACCCTTTCATTTCCCCCTATGCCTCTTTGCCCAGGTGCCCACTAAAAGTGAGTTTTCCTGGTTGACCCTGGAATTTCTATTTCATTTGCGTATTCTAGAACATGCTTGAGGTCGTTGTGTTTGACATTATGGATTTATAGCAGATTGGCTATAGACTAACATATGTGAAAACTAATTAGTTTGATTTGTGCATTGCTGTTATTAAGAAGCACCGCCGTGACTTCCGCCTGCAAGATCCTATAGTAGTTTGGTAGTTTGAACAATTTTTTTATTCCTCATTCATTACAATAGACACCTACTTCTACGCCATCTGGGAACGCATGCATTGTACTGCCTCCTGCCATAAAGCCAGAAAGGTTAACAATCAAAATATGCCGTGTGATGTACCGTTAGAAACACTTAGGCCCGGTGGGCTGATTGTGAGCTCGTATTCGTTCCCATAGAAGTAGAACCAGAAGGTTAAGTTTATAAAAGCGAGAATTCATGAATGCCTTCTGCTGCCCGCCAGACAAACCAAAGAGGTGATGGTGAAATGAGCGTCTTCTATCACCCGAAAAGTCAGGCAGGCCAGTGACAGAGATACTGCCGTCCCTAAATTGGAGCGCTAAGCGTTGCGTTATCCATTGTCAACGAGTGTCATCGCACGCTATACCCAAATCAACGCGTCGTCAATTTTGACGTTTTCTCATGTCCTCTCGTTTTTATTCTCGTTTCCTTTTTCACTTCTTTGTCCGTTCTCTTTCTCTTCGTCTTCTACATCCAACTTCAGCACGTAACGCCCTGTCAAAAATGAAAATTCCATTTGCTCGGCGTTAGCGCCGCGTTATTGTGGAATGCTTCATACAAATTGTATGGGCATGAGGATTTTTGACAGTTGCTTGGCGCTTGACGCGCCAATTTAGGGATGGCAGATAGTGTGCTAAGCTTTGAATTTCTTCCTCGTTGGAATGCCCATTCTGCTAGCGTTCCGTCCCATCAAGTGGTGAACTGTTATAATTTCGGTCACATGCATACCCGGGGGCCCGTTCTAGATAAATGAGTGAGGTGGAAATTTTCTTGTCGAAGCCAGATTTGTCGGATCGTCGTACAGTTGTTTTCTTCCGGCCGTCTCTTCCCCGCAAGCTCGTCTGCCATATACCTATGTACCTTGAATCTCTATAGCGATATCGTCGGCGATGATATTCGCAGAAAATATGTTTCGAATTAGTGACCTCCGCGATTGAAAATGCTGGCAGGGTATATTTATAAAAAAACGAGATTGAAACGTATAGGTACATCCTTAACTCCTTACTAATA